GCAATTATAATAGGGAGGTTTTAGTTTTTTAAACTATAATTTTATTAGTGTCATCACGAGGTACGTGACACAATCTTTTTATGGTATAGCCTTACTATTTGTTTTTAAGGTTAAATTAGTGATGCCACACCATAACGCCAAAGCCATAACCATGGCCATAGAGACCAATTGGACTTTTCTGAAGTGCGAGTAAGAACGTGTTGTCAGACGTTCAAAAAAAAAAAATTTTTTTTTTTATAAAATAACATTTTTTAACAAAATTTCATAATTAAGGCAAACGAAATTTATATTATTAAGGAAGTACAAGTTACTACCTTTAATTTGGTGCACATATTTAATTATGATCTGCTGTTGAGTTTTAAGAATTTAGTGTTAATTTAATGATAGTGATATTACAAAATTTTCCGCGTCTTGTTCTGCGTTTGGCAGCACCGACACTGTTGACTACGAAAAATCAGCTGTTCATGGTTATGATACCTATAATTGATGATAGTTAATGTGGTTACGGTTAAAGTAATGGTTATGGCTATGGCGTTATGGTATGACACCACTAATTTAACCTTTGATGATGGACAAGTTTCTTTCTTCAAAGTAAATTTTGTCTGAACACACTTGCTCTCGTTAACCTTTAACCTTCAAGAACCCAGCCACAGCTCTAACTTCATCAAATATTTTTGCAGCTTGGAAGAAGCCTCTTTAGGGTCAGAACTATAGCTGCTTAGGATAGCTGTGTAATCAGAAAATGTTGAAATGGTTAGAGTTTCATCAGTTGGCAAATCACGAGTGTATATTACGTACAATATACGCTCTAGAACACTGGGCCTTATGCATAAAAAGTGAGCTTAAGCTCAGACTCAATTTTTGCACAGAAGGGGTGAGCTCAAGCTCAAGAATTTGTACTGAAAATCGAGTCGGAGCTTAAGCTCACTTTTTATGCATGAGGCCCAATGTCTTGAGGGACACCTGCATATATAGGGTGACTTTCCGTTCTAACGATATTCGGTCTGATTCTGAAGTTTCTACCCAGCAGAAAACTTGCCATGGTTAAATTCAATCACTATGCTTGAATGATGTACTTTTAATGCTTTATTTAATTTGAACACTAGGAAGCAAGTAACTATCACAGAATTCTTTTTGTAAAGGGTATACGATATCCAGTCTTTGCTACTATGTATGTAACTATCCTCATTTGTGGTCTCACACTGCCTATTCCAAGTATTCCAAAAATGCAACGATCGTTATATCCGAAACAATGCACTTATTTCTCCTCGAGATAGCGGCACCTGCGCCCTAACAATGGCAAAAAGTACCTAAAAATAAAATAACGAAACGCGCCAGCTAAAAGCCAACAGGTATACTTAAATACATACATATTTAGATATGTATATACATATGTATGTATGTTAATGCATTGCCGTGCAGGCGTTAATAGGTATGTATACTAGCTGACCATTTACTTGGCCACTACAAAGAGTGGAGTAAAAAAAAATCACCCAAGTAGGAGGTGGCAATGATAAAGAACGATATTTTAGGCCAGATAATAGTGTTTAAGCCAAAGCGTAACAGTAAAGGCAGCTATATAAAAATTTTATGTATAAAATAGGTGTTTAAATGAAACAGATTATACGTTATTTAGTTTAAAAGAAAGACGAATCATGAAGTAGTGGGAGGGGAGTAAGTAGTAATCTCTCCATACTTTCTTAGTTACTCGACATAAAGAGATTGTAAGCGATGGCCAGTTTCTCCCCAGTCGAGCTTGACTTTGGGCTATTTTTCATCTTGCGTCATGAAATTGTCTTTCGAACTGGCGCGTGCTCTAACCGCTGCCGCATTACTGAAATTACAAGTTTACATCAGTTAAATGTTGCTGCCACTGATGTTACTGTAGCGGTGATCGACGGTCATTGCTGTCCTCGGTCACTGCAAATTTTGCATACAATTGCTCTGCGAGTGGCAAACTGAGGAGTTGGTCTTCGTGCGCATCGTTTAACGATTTAATGCCAATTACTGTCCACATTAATTCCGCTAAAAAATGTTCATGAACTTGGAGAGCTTTTTAAAAGTGCATTGTTTATGTTGTCGTAATTTGTGGCTTTATTGTCCAGCGAACGAAGTTTTGTCAAAATAAAAAGGGGCTTGGCGCTAAATTGCGTTAATTGAAGCAAACGCGAAATTATCGGCGTATTTTTTTTTTTTTACAGTTTACTTTCTAAAAAACATGATAAATGATTTACAGCAGGGCTTATGTTGTAACTAGGTATCCAGTATCAATTGTCTTTATCCAAAAGCATTTGTGAACAAATGCACTATTTTCAGATCGGTGTTTCGAAAATGAGACATCAGCTTCTCGGCTTTAAATAAAAGCTTTTCGATATCAAGAAAATTTCTCTAATTCACACTGAAAATCGGGCTCGACCTGTGGCTGCGAATTAGTTGGCATAGGAAAGCTCCTACGGCATACATACAGTAGTGGCCACATAATTAGGGACACTACTGCTTTTTAAGTTTTGACCATTTATTTAATTTTCTTTATTTAATTTTAATTTTAATTACAAATATAAATGTAGTTTATTACTACAACGAAAACTATGCAACTCAAAGTTTCAAATGTGGTCAAATGATTTTCAAACTTTTTAATCTAAATTTGTAGGAAAAATCGCAATGTTTTTTGATATTTTTTTTTTTGCATGAACTGAGAAAAAATAAACCATATCGTCTTTACTATTTGTGCTACTATTTTGTTTAGTTTAAACAGATTTTTTATTTCTTAGTAAGCTTTCGTTCTGTACATGGTGCATCTGTAAGCACCTCTGCACACTTAGCTCTGCCAGTACATGTACAGAGTGTCGACGAATAACTCTTACCCAGGGTTTTTTGAGAAATAAAAGGGTCCTTTATAGATTTTGCGAAAAAAGTATTTTATTGTTAATTTTCTACAGATTTTACTTTAGTTGCATTAATTAGTTTATAAATTTTAATCCTTATTTATTTGCCAGCAGTGTAAACTTTGAGAGAAAAGTTCGTTTGGCACGCAAGTCTTTTCCAGGTGTATTTTTTCCTAGTCTTTTAATAAAAAATGACAAAAAAGGAAAACTGTATAGAGTTGTTCGAATGATTGGCCGTCCTAGTCACCAGTTCCGAGTCCATTCGATTTTTGCTGGACAGAAGGGGAAGTGGAGAAAATTAGCTTACNGTCTCTTCATAGGACATGCTCGAACAAAAGCGAACAGTTCATTCCCTATATAGNTTTGCCAGCAGTGTAAACTTTGAGAGAAAAGTTCGTTTGGCACGCAAGTCTTTTCCAGGTGTATTTTTTCCTAGTCTTTTAATAAAAAATGACAAAAAAGGAAAACTGTATAGAGTTGTTCGAATGATTGGCCGTCCTAGTCACCAGTTCCGAGTCCATTCGATTTTTGCTGGACAGAAGGGGAAGTGGAGAAAATTAGCTTACGGTTACAGAAGATATGGAATAAATTAATTGACGAAGACCTGCGTGCCAAATGAAATTTTCTTTCAAAGTTTACACTGCTGGCAAATGTAAGTAGGGATTAAAATTTAAAAACTAATTAATACAACTAAAGTAAAATCTGTGGAAAATTAACAATAAAATACTTTTTTCGCAAAATTTATAAACGACCCTTTTATTCCTCAAAAAAAAACCTGGGTAACAGTTATTCGTCGCCACGCTGTAAATGTGTTTTAAAATTTTTGGTTTGAATCGATATGGGAAACAAGAGAAGGAAAGTACATATAAAGATAGATATATGTAGATGTCTAAGTTCTCGTCCAAGCGCTTTACTAACTAAACTCCATAATTTCTTCCCATTAATAGCGTAAACCCGCATTGGTCTGCTTTTGGGAGCCGCATGTATGTATGCACATATGTGAATTGTACAGAAAGATTTCATCAGCTTGGGATACGTGCGAATGAGATGGCTAACAGAGGAGTAAATAGACAATATCCGCGTGGTAAGCGTGGTATCCTTGTTCCATTCAGGAACTATATAAAGTTTTGGGTTACTTTTTACTCTGAAAGTGCATCACGTTCTACGCGAAAATTTGGGCGACTCTACCTACAGAGTTCGAGGAATAAAATTTTAAGAATCAGTTGGAATCATTGGAAAATCAAAAGCAACATAAAAAATTTTACCGCGCAATTTCTGCAGCATTTCGGAAGATTTTTAGTTGAGCATTAGCAACATACATATCATCAAGTAAGCAACAAGGCGGCAATATTATGGTAACTATTACGTAACTCGAANTTTGCGATTGCTCCCGGAATCATCCCGGATTAGTCCCATTTTTTGCAGGGAAGAGAAGGAAAGTACATATAAAGATAGATATAGATGTCTAAGTTCTCGTCCAAGCGCTTTACTAACTAAACTCCATAATTTCTTTCCATTAATAGCGTAAACCCGCATTGGTCTGCTTTTGGGAGCCGCATGTATGTATGTACATATGTGAACTGTACAGAAAGATTTCACCAGCTTGGGATACGTGGGAATGAAATGGATAACAGAGGAGTAAATAGACAATATCCGCGTGGTAAGCGTGGTATCCTTGTTCCATTCAGGAACTATATAATGTTTTGGGTTACTTTTTACTCTGAAAGTGCATCATGCGAACATTTGGGCGACTCTACCTACAGAGTTCGAGGAATAAAATTTTAAGAATCAGTTGGAATCATTGGAAAATCAAAAGCAACATAAAAAATTTTACCACGCAATTCTGCAGCATTTCGGAAGATTTTTAGTTGAGCATTAGCAACATACATATCATCAAGTAAGCAACAAGGCGGCAATATTGTGGTAACTATTACGTAACTAGAGCACACCCTTTATTACACGTTGGTTTCGAAAATTTCTTTGCATTTTTTTTCCAATACATACACATTCATTCAGCTGGGTTTTGTCTTTCGATTTCCAACCCAAACTAGTATATATCTTTTTCGTATAAACCACACAAAAACATTTGGGTTGTTCACACTTGCCTGTTTATCAGGTTATCTGTTTATGTGGTTATATTTTTTATACAGTTTCCACCAATAACATACACTACAGAATAATAATTTTTAACCAGATAACCTGATAACCAGTCAAGTGTGAACAACCCAATTATAAATACGTATAGTACTTAACAATTACTTAACTTTATTGTTGATCCTGAAATTAACGGTTTTCTACAGGATTAAATTTAACAATGGATAAACGTAGAATAAACAATTTTAGCTATAATAAAATATTTACCCAAAAATTGTTCATGTATATCTACAGGTTTGATTTACAATCTTCCAAAGTTTTAATAAAACCAGGGACCCTAACGGTTATAAGTTTTATTATAAAAATCACTTTTTAATCGTTATTAACTGAGTTTTATTTTTTGCTCGGAAAATAATGGTTACGTTTTAAATTTTATTTTTTGCTCGGAAAATAATCGTTTTTTCTTGAGTTTTATTTTTTGCTCAGAAAATAAAACTTAATTTAGCATCGTAAAGAATTGACTTATTTTTTTGAGAATAACTTATTGTTTTTTTATTATTTATTTGTTTTTGTTATTTTATTTTTTTTTTTGCCTTTATAACAATTATATTCAACAATTTATATTGAACTCGAGGCCGTTTTAAATGAAAATTTTTATTGTGGAAAAGCAACAATAATTTGAAAAAATGGTAGAAGTGATAGCTATTTCGGAAATCACCACATTTCCTCATCAGACTTCTTTCAGTAGGATTCGAACCGACGATCCCACTGACTCAGCCAGTTGCCTATGCACCGTGCTAAGTACGCCTTGTTATGCCAACACAATCAAGCGCAGCTATTCCGCTGCAATTCACTTGATCATGTGGTTGTTGGTATTGTTGGTTTTTGCTAATAATTCTATTTTTAGAATGTTTAACTTTTAGTCGTGCTCATCCTTAAGTTATTTGTTTTTGTTATTTTTTTGGCCTTTATAACAATTATATTCAACAATTTATATTGAGCTCGAGGCCGTTTTAAATGAAAATTTTTATTGTGGCCTCGAGCTCAATATAAATTGTTGAATATAATTTTTTATTATTTTTAATATTATTTGACCGTTTGCCTCTTTGAGCAAAAATTACGATCCAGCCATAATATAAAAATGCCCGATGTAATATTTTTTTTTAAATCCTAAATATCAGGGACCGAAAATAAAAGTTAAATATCAAGATTTTTATTTCTTATGTGGATCATTGCAAAATCGTTATTTTCTGATTTTTATTTTTCATTCAAGAATAGTCGTTAAAGTTTGATTTTTATATTTCCGGTCCAATTTAATCATTTTTTGTGATTTTTATTTTTCCGGGTCAAACTTAATCGTTATTACCTGATTTTTATTTTTCGGATCAAAAATAATCATTATATTGTATTTTTTATCGATAATTTTTAACGCTTTTATGCCTTTTTATACGTTTTTTATGATCGACTTAAATCTTTTATTATCTAAAAAATTTCATCTGAAAATAAAATTTCATAATAAAACAAATAATAAAATAACAGTCAAATTTGATCAAAAAAATAGAAATCCAATTTTACCGGTTAAATAATGATTTCTATTAGATATATACATAGATCATAACCTATCCACTAAATATTAAAAAAAAACGGTAATTTAAGATAGTCCGTCCTTTGGTGGCAAAGAAATATTATGCCACTGTCAAACCTGTTCATTTCATATAATTTATTTACAAGGGAAAAATAAAATATTTAAAAGAATTAGTACGAGTATTTGAAGTGTTAGTAATAAATAATAAAAAGTTGCGAGTGTGGTTTTATAAACAAAGGCATGGCCAATAAACGAAATCAAGACGATTTCAGAAATCTAAATTTTTGTTGAGCTTTTATTATCCTCTACGAAAATTTTAAAGAAGGAATTAAACATTTCTGAGATCGAGTTCGCGAATTCGTTTACTGCTTGTCTTTGTGGGCACGAAAATAACAACAACATAGAAACCGATAACAGTGTAAATTCCACGTGTATTTCCATTATTAAAAAACTACATTAAAAGATATTGCGATGAAATATTAAAAAAAAAACAACTTTTTGTGGCTGGTGTTTAAAGTGTTTCGAGTGGAACTAAAATCGAACCGATACAACAACAATATATATAAAAGTGCTTCCAACAACAACAAAAAGGTAAACCACAAAACTAACAAACTTTAACAATCAAAAATGTATATTCTTTACAAATACATAAACATTTAGGTACCAATGAAATAGAATCTGTGAGCTCCTTGTCGTACTGCAAAGACATGAAAAAAAGAAAGAAAGAAAAAAACAAGAAAAAAGAAAACGATTCACATTGAATTACGATTTTAACTTTTCTTTAATTTGTTTGCAAAACTTACGAAAAATTTACGAACAACAATGAAAAAGGAAAAAATAATAAAACTTCTTAGCGATTTAGCTACATATTTTAGAAAATAAAAACATACATAATTCAATAAGTTAAGTAGATTACAATGATTTCGAAAGAAAACTTATTAAGCATTTATGTTTGCATACATATTCACACAGCGAGAAGAGGCCGAAAATAATTAACTAAACTAAAACAGTTCATATCTAACTAGGGAATTTTATTTTAACTATTAATTTTAATTTTTTATTTATGTATGTAGTTTTATAAATACGATTCTAAGCACAAAAGATACTGTAGTTTTTAATGTGATTAGAAAAAAGCTTAAAAGCTGGAGCAGAGGAAGAAATGTATCATAAACATGTAGTATGTATGTAAAAAGCTTAAGAGTCAGAAGAAAATCATAATTTTTAACATAAAAATAACATGTCTCGATTTATGAATACAATGCATATTAGAAGAATAAATGAACTTGTTGCTGCTGAGTTTGTTTTTAGAGATATTGAAGCAAAATTTCGGGTTACGAATTTTTATATTTGAAAGTTATTTTACAAATTGAATCTTTATGTAGCTAAATGAAAAGTTTACTTTTAAAATTCTAATTATTATTATTATTTTTAATTAATACCTATAGCAAACACATTTTAAGCAGCATTAGCAACAAATTTTTAAATCTTTTCTGTTAAGCTCTTTTTCCTATTCTTGCATTGTAGTATAGTGCTCAAGCGAAGTACATATATGTATGTACGTGAATATATACTATATATATATATATTTTAATCGCAATATTAAGAAAAATAATAATTATATATTTTAAATCAATCAGAAAAGCATGCTGCGATTTTGGCTTACCGTTATTTTTGATACCGCCATTTTTGTCACACGAGAAAATGTTCGATTGCATGTGATTTTTAACGTTGCGCGGAGTTTGTGGAAGATCACCGCCGAAGATGTCGCTAGTGCCACCGCCTGGTGGTCTTAGAACCCTATAAGAGAGAAAATTATAAGATTTGCGATTAGTTTTATAATAAAATTAAAATAATACTAATATGTATAAATG